TTCTTTTTGTAGCACCAGGGAGCAAACTTAGGACCTTGTACTTGCGAGGCAGGTACTTATGCCATTGAGCTATCTTCTGGGCCCTCCACTACCAATTCTTAAGTTTGTTCTTTTCCCAAACTAGTAATACATATGGTACTATATCTTCTTGAGATGTCAGTGTTTTTTCGGTTGACACAAGTGAGAGATAAGATAGAAATAAAGAAGCCTTTATTGTGGGTGCAGGAGAGCTTCAAGAGAATTCAAGAACCCTCTGAACAGGAGGCACGGAATGATATATTTCTTAGGGTAGGCTGGTGGTAACACTTTGGGAGTGGTTAAGGTGATTGTATCAAGAGCTGTTTGGGGAATTGTTGGCACTTGTGAAAAGGAGATAGGAAATTGAGGTTTAGACTGGGAGGAGGAGAAAACAGAAATTATTCTCAGAGTGACTATGGCCATGTGGATTGCCACCATGATGACTTGGCATATTTTTATATGGGTGGAGACCCATCAGTAAGGCCAATTTTTTAAAAATTATTGATAAAAGTTTTTAGCCTTTCAGTATTTTGGTGCTGAGGACCAAACCCAGGGCTTTCCACCACTGAGGTAATCCCCAGGCCCTGTTGATTTAAAAAATTATTTGAGACAGTTTGTATTTGCCAAAAAGAATTTGAAAATTAAAATGAAATACCATTTACTCAGATTTAGCCCATAGAAGTAGAAAATTCAGGGGTTGGGGAGATAGCTCAGTAGAATAAGTGCTTGCCTGGCAAGCAGAAGGGCCTGAGTTCAATCCCTGGTTCCGCCAAAAAAAAAAAAAGTAGAAAATTCAGGCCATTTTCCATAGAAAAATTTATCAGGGAGTTCCCACACAAAAAAGTACCACACCTGAGTGATTTCTCTGGGGAATTTGTTGACATTTTTAGATATCATAAATTGTTTCAAAGTATAGAAAATGAACGAAACATCTAATGCGTGCGTTTAGTGAAATAAGTATATCTCAATCAAAAGAAGTACAAACTGGTAATCCTTGTAAACAGACTCCAGTATCACATGTAAAAAATACACAGGCTCATTGTGGTGCCATGTGCTTGTAGTCCCAGCCATGTGAGAACCCAAAGGAGGTATGCTGGGCCCAGGAGTTTAAGACTACCCTGAGGAATGTAGAAAGACTCTTATCTAAAAAATAATAATGTAGGGCTGGCAAGATAGCTCAGTGGACTAAGTGCTTGCTTAGGTAAGCATAGGTACCTGGGTTCAATCCCTGGCACCACATACTGCACTGGCCCCACCTGGGTACACTGAGTACTTGATAGAGCCTGGGCATGGTGGCGCATGCCTGTAATCCCAGCACTAGGGAGGCTGAAAATAGGGATCACTACGAGTCTGAGATGCGTAATAAGATCCTGCATACACAAAAAATCCTAAAAATAATAATGTATTATGTCCAAATGTGTTTATGCCAGCATTGTAAAGATAATTCAATTTGGAAATTATTCAGATAATCTACTGGTGGGGCTGGGCAGATAGCTCAGTAGAGTAAGTGCTTTGGCAAGTGCAAGGGCCTGAGTTCAATCCCCAGTTCCGCAAAAAAACCCAGATGATCCACTGGATTAATAGGTCTGAGAAGTAAAATTCTATTATTTTATTCATGTCCTAAAAAGCTTTTGACGAAATATGCCCATTTATGATTTTAAAAATGCTTCAGAACATAACAAGCCATGTATGCTTTTTTTTTTTTTTTTTAATGTATGCTTTCTTAATTGGCTATATACGTCAGTCCTCAGTCCTTGTGTTTTACTTAGGATCAAGAACAAGTCTAGGATGTTTACTGTTTTTGTCTCATTGATTGAGTTTTGTTTTTCTGGTTTGTAGTGTTAGTTTAGTTTTTTCTAGTATTGGGGATTGAGCTCAGTACAATTGGGCATAGTGGCGTGCGCTTGTAGTCCCAGCACTTGGGAGGCAGAAAATAGGAGAATCACTATGAGTCCTATCTATGTAGTGAGACCCTGCAGACCCTGTCCTAAATACAGAAAAAATAAAAAGACTTCTTTGTTCCTCAATCAGGACTTTACAATTGTGTAAAGTCAATTGTGCTATACAGTGTTCAACTTTGCTTTGTTGAACACTGTACAATTGTGCTATACAGTGTTCAACTTTGCTTTGTTGAACACTGTATAGAAGGTATTACTGAATGCACTTAGATGAGAAAAATATAAGGCACAATAATTATAGATCAAAGACCCAGGCCAGCCTGATAGCTTAGTGAACTAAAGCGCTTGCATAGGCAGAGCACAGTGGCCAGGGTTCCATCCCCTGCATGCCTGCCAGCCCCACCCACAGGGCACTCTGAGATGGGGATTGAGACTGGGTGTGCTGGTGCACACCTATAATCCCAGCACTTGCAAGGCTAAAAACAGGAGAATCACTGAGTCCGATCTACGTAGTGAGACCCTGTAGACCCTGTCCTAAATTTAAAAAAAAGAAAAAAGACCCAGAAACCCTAGTGATCAATGAGAAACATACCTAAAACAGTTAAAGCACTTAGCTAGATAGAATAAAAAATTAACATGCATGTTAGTATGAATACTGTGGCCAGTTAGAAGACAGAAAGGAAAACCCAATTAAGCAACAAAAAAGATAAAATACTTAGGAATAATTTAAGAAGACTTTTTAAGTTCCTGAGTAAAGAAAACTGTAAAATACTACCAGTAGGCACAATGTAAACTTAAATACGTAGAAAATATCCATTATTCTTTAGGACATCTGAGCATAATCAAGATATTGTATATAGTTGTCTCTACAGTGTTATAAGGAACCAGGCACTCAGGAGGCTGAATCAGGAATATCACTGTGAGTTTGAGGCTAGACTGAGCTACAAAGTGAATTTAAAACCTGAAATAGAAGTAGTTACAAAAGAGAATAAATAGCATTGGGGCCAGGGAGATGGCTCAGTGGAATAAGTGTTTGCCTGGCAAGTGCAGGGGCCTGAGTTCAATCACCAGTTCCGAAAAAAAAAAAAACAAAAAAAAAAGAATAGCCTTGTGCTACACTTAAAAATAATTATAAATTTTTTTTAGTGTACTTAGTACAGGGTCTCACTACACAGGTCAGACTCACTGATCTTCCTGTTGCCAGCCTACCAAGCATTGGGATTATAGGTGCACACTTCGATGCCTAGTCTTAGGCATGGTAGGGGCCAGGGATCAAACCCAGGTCCCTGTGCCCACCTAAGCCGGCACTTTAATTCCTGAGCTATCTGGCCGGCCCTATAAATTTGTTACAATGAGACTATATTGATGCATGGATGGATCGTGGAATAGAATAGAAAGTCCTGATTGAGGAACAAAGAAGTCTTTTTATTTTTTCTGTATTTAGGACAGGGTCTGCAGGGTCTCACTACATAGATAGGACTCATAGTGATTCTCCTATTTTCTGCCTCCCAAGTGCTGGGACTACAAGCGCACGCCACTATGCCCAGTCTCAATTGCTTTCTCATTGCGCCCCACAAGCAAGTCTAGCATGACACACCAGGGATTGAACCCCAGCTGCTATGCTCTGCCTAAGTAGCCACTTTAGTCGGCTGAAGTATCAGGCCAGCCCAACAAAGAAGGCTTAAAATTAAAGTAACTGTGTATAAGGCCAAGGAGGTAGCTTAGCGGCATAAGCACTTGCCTGGCAAGTACAAGATCATGAGTTCAATCCTTGGTACCAAAATCAAATAACTGTCTAGTCACTTCAGACAAAATATAGAATCTTTTATCTGGTTCCCACCCCCCCTTTGGTACCAGGGATCGAACTCAGGACCCTGTGCTTGCCAGGCAAACACTTATTCTACTGAGCTACCTTCCTGGCCCATTCTTTTATCTGTATGCAGAAATAAATTCCAGGGGCCAAGAATATAGCTTGCACAGTGCCTGCCTGGCAAGCACAGCTGGGTTCGATTCCCTTTACTCGGAATGAATTAATTCCATATAAATTAGATTCCTGAGTGTCAAAAATGAAAACCCTATGTGAGCCTTGGGAGAAGATGTTACAATAGGGAAAGCTTTGTAAATTCAAGATTAAAGAGCGAGATCGAAAGGTTCAATAAAAGACTGATAAATTTAGCTATATAAAAATTAAATTTTATATGATTGAAAACATAAAGGCAAGGCTCAGGGAGATAGCTTAGTAGAATAAACGCCAGTCTGGCAAGCACAGGGTCCCGAGTTCAATCCCCGGTGCCTCAAAAATAAAAATAAAAATAAAAAATAAAAAAGGCAAATTAGAACAAATATTTGCTACAAGTTGGGCATGGTGTCAGCACTCAAAAAAACTCAGGCAAGAGTATTATCAGAGTTCAGGGCCAGGCTGGGCTGCATAGTGAAGCCCTGTCTCTAAAAAACAAAAACAAGGGCTGGCCAGATAGCTTAGAGGACTAACACCTGCTTAGGCAGGCTCAGTGACCGGGTTTGATGCCCGGCCTGAGACTGGGTGTGGTCTTGTGTGCCTGTAATACTAGCTCTTGGGAGGCTGAAAACAGGAAGATCACTATCAGTCCTGATTTGTGTAGTAAGATCCTGTAGACCCTGTACTAATTTCATTTAAAAAATAAAAAACAGGGTTCAGTAACTCCAGCACTTGGCTGGCCAGCGCAAATTCCTGGTACCAAAAATTGAATAAAGTTTGCTGCATGTATTATAAGTCTCATTTTTTTTTATATGTAATGCCTAATTTTCCATTAGATGAAACTAAGTTGTTATGCTATAATGTGTTGGTTCTGAAGTGGTTCTTTGCAGATTAGCAGCATTACCATCATCTAATAAGTTGTTAGAAGTGTATATTTTCTGCACTTACTCTGTCCAGACCCAAGTCAGAAATTCTGGGTTGGGGTTAAATAATACGAAGTTTAACAAGCCCTCCAGCTGATTCTGATGCAAGCCAAAGTAGAGAACCCATTTATATTCCTGTGCTGAACATACTTCAGAGCTGCCTCTGCTATAATGAGCATATTTCATAGTTTCTTTCCTTTTCAGATTCTCCAACCTGGGAAATACATGCTATATGAATGCTATTTTACAATCTCTGTTTTCACTCCAGTCGTTTGCAAATGACTTACTTAAACAAGGTATCCCGTGGAAGAAAATTCCACTCAATGCACTTATCAGGTAATTGCTATGTCCTGAGTAACCAATTTACTTCATTGATTATAGAATAATGGAATTTTAAACACTTAAGATTATACCATTATTGGGCTGGTGAGATGGCTCAGTGGTCTAAAGCACCTACCTAGAACAAGCTAAGCTGAGCAAAGCACAGGGACCACAGTTCAATCCCCCAGCACCACATGCCAGCCAGCCCGCCCCCTGGTGGGCTGAGCTGGCCACACACACAAAATAAATAAATAAATAAATATTTAAAAAAAAAATTATACCATTATTAGTAGTGCTCAAAATATGCTATTCAGTATCTTGTGAAATATGCTGACCTTGCTCCTTTTGTTTTTCCAGGCGTTTTGCACACTTGCTTGTTAAGAAAGATAACTGTAATTCAGAGACCAAAAAAGATTTACTCAAGAAGGTTAAAAATGCCATCTCAGCTACAGCAGAGAGATTCTCTGGCTATATGCAGAATGTGAGTACTAATTGTTACTGAATGTTTTAGAAATAGGGAAAAATTAAAAAGTTTTAATGTTTAACCTGATTTTTGTTTGAAGATATTATCTGTGTAGTGTGATCATCATGGATTAAAAACCCTGGGGAGGGGGCCAGGGAAATGACTCAGTAGAATAAGCGCTTGCCTGGCAAGCACAAGGGCCTGAGTTCAAAACCCCGGTTCCACAAAAAAAAAAAAAAAAAAACCTTGGGGAGTTACACTAAGGTTCAGTGTGACTCTTCTACGCATATTCTAATATACAGGTATCCTTTGCCTGTGAAAAATGACATTTTTTTAGCAAAGTGAAGAGTCATTAATTCATTCAGACTAATACAATTAAATATCTAAGAATATGAAATCTACAATTTATTTTTACTTACAGTTTTTTGGTGTCTTGTTTGCTGTTTTAGTGATTATGGGGATTGAACCCAATGTCTTACACCAGTCCTCTACCACTGAGTTTGTCATATATACGCCTCTGTCTCATGTCATTCATTTTTGAGGACAGGCTAAAGAGGTTTTGGTTGGTTGGTTTGTTTTGTTTGGTTTTTGTTTACTGTGTATTTCAGGTTGGCCTTGAGCTCACTCTGTAGCCCACACCAGCGTCATTCAAAGACCATCCTCCTGCCTCAGCCTCTTGAGCACTAGGATTTCAGATGTGTGCTATCACACCTCGCTATCATTTGTTTTTAATCACAAACTGTGTTCCCCAAATTCCTTCTTAGAATAAATCTGACTTTGCTCACTTAATTTCTCTGACTTCCAAGTACTTTAATTTTTATATATAAATTACTTTGTTGTTGTTATTACCATGATAAGAAATGTTTTGATGTGATAATATCTTTCTAGGATGCTCACGAATTTTTAAGTCAATGTTTGGACCAGCTAAAAGAGGATATGGAAAAATTAAATAAAACTTGGAAGACTGAACCTACTCCTGGAGAAGAAAGTTCACCAGATATTTCAGCTACCAGAGTATATACTTGCCCTGTTATTACTAATTTAGAGTTTGAAGTTCAGCACTCCATTATTTGTAAAGCGTAAGTAGTCTCTAAGAACGCCCCCAGGTCCTTATGGCAAGTTATTAAAATTTTCTTGTGACATAACAAATGCTATTCCTCCTTCCTGTGCCATGGAAGAAATGTAAAGCCGCTATTAAGAAAATAAAAGCCCATACCTCTTTGGTCGGTCTGCAGGATCTACAGGGTCTCACTAATTTTGTGATTCTTCTATTTTCAGCCTCTTAAAAGCTGGGATTACAGGCGTATACCACCACGCTGGGTCTCAGTATCAGTCTCAGGGTTTCCTGGGGCAGGGCCAGCACAGCATACCAGGGCTGTAGACTGCTGAGCTATCTGCCCAGCCATAACCATACCTCTTTTTAGTCTTTTTCTTTCTGTAGAAAGGTTGATGGGCTAAAAAAAAAAAAAAAAAACTAAGGAGAATTTAAATAGTTACATACTTTTTTTTTTTCCTTTTTTTGAGACAGGGTCTCACTGTGCATTTCAGGCTGGCCTTGTGCTCACTTTTTGTATCCCTCAGGCTGGTCTCAGATCTTCCTGGCTCATACTCCTGAGTCCTGGGATTATAGGCATGTGCCACCACACCCGGTTCTGGGACCTCACAGTGGATGCCTGCATCCAGGGCCAAGATGATACGCACCTGGGGATCTGGGGCCGAGACTGCACAGCATGTAGACATGGCATGTGGGGCCAGGGATCAAATTTGGGTCCTTGTGCTTGCCAGGTATGTGCTTATGCCTCTGAGCTATCTCTCTGGCCCCTGTGCTTGCTTTTTTCTTCCTTTTCACTAAGAAGACCCTCTTGTTTTGTGGAGCCTAATTAGTCTTATTGAAATCACTTTTTTATGAAATTGATCGACATTTGAATTATTTTTAACTTTTGCATTGTTTTTCCTTTTTTTTTTTTTTTTCTGGTACTGGGGATTGAATTCAGGAGCTTGTGCTTGCCAGATAGGCGCTTATTCTACTGAGCTATCTCCCCGGCCCAGGCATGTTAATAATTATTCAGACTGACTCTACATTTAGTTAATTTCTACACTTGTCATTAGGACTTTATAGCATATATTTCTCTTTGAAAGGTTTTATTATTTTTCAGTCATCTATAGGGCATCTCTGAATGAATCTTTTAAATAAATTATTTATTTATTTACTTGGTTCAGGATTTTACTATGCAGCTCAGACTCAGTGAGCCTCCTGTCTCAGCCTCCACAGTGCTGAGATTACAGGCATGCCCTACCACTTTCGTTTTCTGTGGCCAGCACAGTGGCACAGCATGCATTATCGGGTATTGACCCTGGTCCTTGTGCTTGCCAGTCAGACAGTTAGACCACTGAGCTACCTCCCCAGCCCCTGAGTAAATGTTTTTGAGAGAAAATAGAATTCTTCAGAGCCATCTCATAGGTGACAATTATTTCTGTGGCTTTCCCACATCACAGAATTATGATGTTAGTCTTTTTATCCCTTAACACATTATGTATGCTGGCTGCCTCATTGATCTATCCTGTTACACTGACACTCATAAGATATCTGACTTAGTGTGAATTGTTTATATTTCTTTGTGAAATTTTGTGGCATTTTTGTTTTTAGAGTTCTCCATTTCACTAATTTATATCTAGGTAGTCATAGTTTTTGTTAATTTTGCCCATAACATGATAAAACCTTTGCATTGAAGATTTGTTTTTCTTTTGCTCAAGGAAACTTCTCTAAATCTGCCTCTCTTTCCTTTGCTTTAGAATTTTCTTCAGAAATATTCAAAACCCACATTTTGATTCTGCAGTTCTTTTGCCTTTCACTTATTTTTCTTAGATTTCTCAAAGTGATAGTTATAACATTCTAGTGTTTTTGACTAGAATTTTAAATGTGCATGTAGATACTGCAAAGATACTAGTTTGTGCTTGCCTGTAATCTCAGTTACTTAGGAGGTTGAGACAGAAGATCCACAAGTTCAAGGCCAGCCTGGACAATTTAGTGAGTCATAAAGTTAAAAGGGCTGGGGGTGTAGCTCAGTGGTAGAGCTCCTTGGGTTCACATTCAGTCCTTGGTACTGAGAGAGGGAGAGTGTGTTTTGCATGTCAAGTCTGTGATATTTCTTCCTCTCTAGATGTCCTTGGTGTTGCTTCCCCCTGGTGGATATATGATTTTCTGAAGAAAAAGCCGAGAGCTCAAGCGCATTTAATACTACAGTAGATGGCTATCTGTCTTTTCCTTCTAATGCACTTTCTAAAAAAAATTTGGTACAAATCAGAGAATCAAAGGTTTCAAATGTTTTTAATTATGAGGATATGATTCAAATTTATTTTGATAAAAATTTACCTGAGGGCTGGGGAGATGGCTCAGTGGTCTAAAGCACCTACTTGGAACAAGCTTGGCAAAGCACAGGGACTGCGGTTCGATCCCCCAGCACCACATGCCAGCCAGCCCCACCCCCTGGTGGGCTGAGCTGGCCACACATACACACACACAAATAAATGTTTTTAAAAAAAGTTTACCTGAAATTGGAAATGACCCTTGGCAGCTCAACACTTCCACACTGATGTCTGGCCAGGAGACAGTCGGTGGGATCATTGAATCAGCATACAGAGAAAGGAAACTGTATGAAGTAGTAGCTACTGTGCTGTGCGAATGGCAATCTGGCGTAAGTGTGCAGCACTCAGATATTGGGTGTAGAGTTGAAGTGTGCGCCCCAGTGGAGGAAATAGTATGAGATCGTAGGATGTATGCATACCAGTATTGACCAGGCTGGACAGTAGCACCATTTATGACATAGGTCATGGCAGATAAGCCTGCCTGAGGTCACAGCAACAACAGTACACTTAGCTCCTTGAAGGCCTTCTTCACTTGTTTTATTTTTATATTTTTGTTTTATTATTTTATTATTTTCCCTGGGACAGTGCTTTAAACACATAACTTTCTGGCTGATGCAAGATTTCATGTACTTTGTCCTTTAAATTGTAAGTTACATGTTTATCTTCTCTGGCTGTAGATTTGTCTGACCAATTTGACAAGTGTAGTTAACTTTTAAACTATTACATAATAGTTTAAGTTGGCTGCTTTTTATTAGGCACTTCATTTTGTTAATAATATTCTTTTTTTTTTTACTTTATTAAAATACTGAGTTTATTTCACATGTATATTTGTTGCATGTCTGACTACCACTGCTATGTCTTACCATAACATTCCATACATACTTAAAACCAAGTAAAGGGTGCAGTTCCGTGTTTAAAAACTAAACAGGCATTTCAGGCAACACATTCTTGGCAATGGGACCTGTACAACATTTATCAAACATGGTAGGGAAAGTTCTCACCTTGCATTATGAAAAGGATAACCAGATAGCAACTGTTACAGAAATGAAAGAAGATGGAAAACTTTAACAAACTGTTCAAACTGTTTTCTTAAAAAGACTTCCTGGGCTGGAGAGATGGCTCAGTGGTCTAAAGCACCTACTTGAAACAAGCTTGGCAAAGCACAGGGACCTCGGTTCGATCCTCCAGCACCACATGCCAGCCAGCCCCGCCCCCTGGTGGGCTGAGCTGGCCACACACACACACACAATAAATAAATGTAATAAATAAAAATAAATAAATATAAAAAAAAAAAAGACTTCCTCCCCTGCCAGAGATCTTGAATAGCCTCCTGGTGAGTCATCTGGAAGCAATTCTTCACATAATTGATGAATTTGGCTTCCACCTTGGGACGAGAACCACCTTTTTCTATACTTGCTTGCATTTTTGCTTTAATGTCTTCTACAAAACTATGTCCTTTGGGTCTTCTAGGACTCTTTTCCTGTGTCTTGAAGGATTCCTGCCCTTTTGATCTTAGTGTTGACGGTTTTGAGTCTTTTCCATTCTGATTTGATTTTTGTGCATTTTGGGTGGAGTATTTCATAATGATTTCTTCACTGGAGGTTTCTCTTCAGTTTCTTCATCATCAGAATCATCGTCGTCGTCATCCTCATCCTCATCATCCTGTTCGTCTTCATCAGCAGCGGGTTTTACTTGTTTCTGTGGAACCTCACTGCCACCTTCAAGGGCAGATCACTTTCCAGATATACTTAGAGTTTTACATCTTCTTCCTCTTCCTCTTCTGACTCTACATCTTCTTCCACAGCTACTAAATGCTGTCCACTAATATGCACAGGCCCTGAACCACACTTCAACCTTAAGTCAACAGGTGGTGTAATTTCAATGTCCCCAAGGGAAACTGTTGGCTGTACAGACATTTTCAAAGTTGCCAGTGTTACTTTAGTTGGACTGCCTTCATAATTCATAGCCTCTACTTCAACAATGTGCATTTCATCCTGTGCTCCAGCCGCTAAACTGACCGTTCTTAATGACAACTGGTGCTCATTTTCATCCTTATCCACCTTAAAATGGTAATCTTTGTCAGCCTTTAGTTCACAACTGAAGAGATAGTTCTGGGGCCTCAGGGGGCTCATGTCCACATCCATCAAATCTTCCATGGAGTGGTGGTGTACACTTAGGTGGGAGAGAACACGGATGGAAGTGAATGAGTACTGCTCCACAGAACAGACATGCAAGACAGAATCACGCCAGGGCTGTTAATATATTCTTAACTGAAGAATTCTTATGAACATTCCATTCAAAGAACTTAAAATATCTAAAACTAAGTACTCAGTGTTCCTCTCAAAACTCATTCTACAATCTTTCCTGTCATTAATCACAGTCCATAGTGTTCATCAGCCTAAAAATGAGGTGTACTTTTTTTATTAGTACATATTTGCAGTACATACTGATTGCATTCATCATGGGGAATAGGTACATATATGTAACACCTCTTAATTCTTATGTCCCCTTCTGAAATATATATATGTTTTGTTTTCTTTTAGTTTGTAGTATTGGGAATGAAACTCAGGGCCTTGTACTTGCCAGGCAGGCATTGTATTGCTGAGCTGTACCTCCCGCTGTAAAGTACATTGTTTAACTCTTTCTCTCATACTCCACATCTGACCTGTCATCAAATTCTTTCAGCTGAACATATTAGCTAGAGTGATCCTTTCTAAATGGAATAATTTATTCAGCCCTGTAAAACTATATAGCCAGGTGTGGTGGTGCATGCCTGTAATCCCAGCACTTGGGAGGCTAAAGCAGAAGGATTATCATGAGTTCGAGGTCAGCATAGGCTACAGAGTGAGTTCAGGTCCAGTATGAACTACATAGCGAGACCCTGTCTTTTAAAAAAAAAAAAATATATATACACACACACACACACACACACACACACACACACATACATATATAATCTCTGCTGGCAGTGTAACTCAATGATTGAATGTGTTTAACAGATAAAAGGTCCTGGCTTCAATGACCAGCACCAAAAAATAAAGACCATTTGCTCACATAGACATTTTCTTGCCATTCTGAAGTTCTAACCTTCTTATTCTGACCCTTCTCTTCTTTCTTTCCTACTATTTTTCTTCCTTATCCTGTGTCATTATCTAACATGTATTTTACTTGTGTGTCCGTCATTATCTCTCCCCAGTACAATGAAAGCATCATAAGAAGAGGTAATACTTTGGGTTTTTTGCTTATTTACTCACTGCTATTCATCCCCGTGCCTAGACTAGTTTCAAGTGTATAGAAAGCTATATTAGTTTTTCAGTGATGTCTAACAAATTTCATCAACCATACTAGCTTGAAACAACACTTATTAACTCATGGTGTTATGCATCAGAAATCTGGGTACAGTGGCCAGCTTCTGTACTCAGAGTGTACAGCTGGAATCAAGCCTGTGTTCTCATTTGGAGTCCAAGATCTTTTTAGTTCTTTATGATCATGGGCAGAAGTCGGGTCTTTGCGGTTACAGCACTGATAGCCACATTTTCTTGGTGGCTGTGAGCTGGGATAATTGATTTCATAAAACTTACTTCAGTTCTTTGCTGTGTCACCCCATAGTTCATAGCAATGCTATTTTGTCTTTTCCAGACCAGCAGGAGCACATCTTTGATTTCTAAGCCCGCATTTCCTATTTGTACTCTTGACCTAGGGGCATTTGTGATTTGATCTGACCCACATGGATAATCTCCATTTTGATTAAGTCAAAGTTGAAATTAGTAACTTGTAATATCTGCAAAATCTCTTAGCCATGTTAAGTATCATCATCATAGGAGTGATAACTCATTGTGTCATAGATTCTACCCATACTCAAATATATAGAATTATGCAAATTTTGCCAGAGACTACATTAATATTTATTGAATAAAAACACATTTTCTTACCACAGTCTTCAACTGTAGTAATATAAATAGGGACTGAGAATCTATTATTATTAAAAATGTTGATATGGGGATACAGGAAAAGCAGCTGGCTAAAACTGTCTAAAAATAAATAAATTTACCTTCGGGTAAATTGAATATTATGTTTTGATCTCTGAGTCCTTTTAAAAAAATTATATGAAAGTGTTTCCAGGGGCTGGAGAGATGGCTCAGTGGTCTAAAGCACCTACTTAGAACAAGCTTGGCAAAGCACAGGGACCGCGGTTCGATCCCCCAGCACCACATGCCAGCCAGCCCCGCCCCCTGGTGGGCTGAGCTGGACACACACACACACACACACACACACACACTAAATAAATGTAAAAAAAAAAAAAAAAGTGTTTCCAATAACCAAACAAGTTGTGCTACCTAACAGAAGTGCCTATACCTGTGTGTTGAGAACACATAGAATTGTCAGAGTGATAATATTTATATAGACAAAAAAAGAAAAATCTAAATCTCCCTCAGTAGTATTATAATTATGTATTAGTCATACAGATTGATGCTTCAGCCAGAGTTGAATCTTCTAATCATGTTGAACAAAGAGGCTTGATTAAAGAAAGCATACTGTATGATTGTATAAGATTCAAAAAGAGGAAAAAAATATTCAAAAACAGGTAAAACTCAAACCACAGTGTTAGAAATCAAAATAGGTTACTTTTTGTGGAAAAGGAGTAGTGATTGGGAAAGAAGTATTTGAGGAGGCTGCTAGGGAGTTGATAGTGTTGTGTTTCTTGATTTGAGTAGTGAATATGTAGATATGTTAACTCTGCTAATTCTCCAAACTGTAAAGCATAACTTGGTTTACTTTTCTATGTATATGATTTTACATTTTAGCTTTTTAAAGTTTGGAGTATTTTAAAAATACAAAAATCTTAAACTTGGCGCTTTAAGAAAATCCATACATAACTGCAATTGAAAGTTTATCTGTATTAATAAAGTTTAAAGTAAACACGAAAAAAGTCTTGCTGGGCATGGTAGTTCTCACCTGTAGTCCAAGCTTCTTGGAGGATAAGACAGGAGGAGCCCAAGTATGGGCCAACCCCAGGCAATTTAGCTGCACTAAGAATAGAATTTAAAAGGCCTAGGGTGGACTCAGTGGCAGAACATTTGTGTAGCATGCATGAGGCTCTGGGTTCAATCCCCAGCACTATTAAAAAAAAGAAAAGAAAAGAGAATGTCTGAAATGTTGTCTCTTTCTTCTCTCTCTTTCTCTTTCTTTCTTTCTTTCTTTCTTTTTTTTTTTTTCTTCCGTTTGTGTATTTGGCACAGGGTCTCACTATGCAGCTCAGACTCCTAGTGATCCTGTTTTCAGCCTCCCCAATACTGTGATTACAGGCTTGTACCACCATGCCTGGACTCAGTCTTAGGCTCATTGTATCCTATGGCTGTGGGAGTGGGGTAGGTGGGACTAGGGATTGAATCAAATGTCTATTTCTTATGTTTACTGTACTGTGTCAGCAGCATTTTTGTAGGGAGGAATATTTGCATTTTTTTCATTGCCTTCAATATTTGTATTTATCTTTTTATTCCTACAGATGTGGAGAGACTATCCCCAAAAAAGAACAGTTTAATGACCTCTCCATCGACCTTCCTCGAAAGAAAAAACCACTCCCTCCTCGTTCAATTCAAGATTCTCTTGATCTCTTCTTTAGGGTAATACTTTTGATATTTTCACAAAACTGTATTTTACATATCATAAGTAATTGTGGTTTAAGCTGTTGAGGTTTTTTGTTTGTTTGGGAGGGATTTTCTTTTGTTTTTTTTTTTTGTTTGTTTGTTTCTGTGAAAGGGCCTTCCTATGTAGTTCAGCCTGCCTTGAACTTACTATGTAGCCTGGACTAGTCTTGAATTCATGGCAATCCTTCTGCCTCAGGCTGCTGAGTGCTTTAAGTTGTAATTTTAAGGCAGAATTTCAACCACATTATTCCAAGGAAAATAGATGAGAAGAATTTGTAAATATTTATTTTACAAAGCTTGATAAATCTGACTATAACTTAGCGAAGCAGAAAGCTAAACAGATTATATCTTTAATTCAGCAGCAGCTATTTTAGACAAGGTTAGAAGTGGTTCATTATTCATTAAAAATACTAATTTAAAGCATTTGAGGTGACATGTTAAAATTTCATATCAAATTAAAATTGGTAGTAGCACTAAGTTGGTATACTGAGAGCCAAAGTGTATAAAAATATTCCGCATTTCCTTAGCTATGTGTACAGCAGGAGCAAGAAGGGAAGGACCATGCTTATCCAGAGCTATAGATAAATGTCTGTGTCTATGATATACCCTCATAGGTATTCAAAAAGTATTCAACAGACCCTAATCAGACCTGTTGTATAGCAGATCTTATAACTGTTGGTAATTTACTAGGGTCCCTCTTCACCTATATACTAATGGTCCTTGTTTTATTGTTAGTAAATCGGCACTGTTGTCTTCCTAAGATTTAAAAAAAAATCTATTATTTAAATGATGTGTTCAGCTGTACCCAAAGATCCTTTTTTTTTATTCATTCTCTACTATTTCTATAATTATCATAGGCTGAAGATTATTCTTTGTATCATTATTCCCATGTTTTTAAGGATTTTTTTGTTTCAGTTTTCTCTAGGTAATGATATCCACCCTAAACTTTGGTCCTTTTAGAGCAGTTATCCTTAGTGGGCTGTCACCAGAAGATTGATGTCCATTATAAGAAAGGGGTAGAGTTACAGATCAAGAACTCCACCTAAACTGAAGGTGATCTCGTCTATGCTATAGCCAAATGTTACAATCTAGATATACTCTTCAGCAGTTCATGTGTATCCCTGGAGAAAAGTGCGAATCTGCAGACTTTTTAAGAGTACTTACTGTCATAAGTTGAGATGTTTCCTTGGTAAAGAAGGAATTAGGAATTGTAAATAGGTTATCATATGATAACTATTTTAAAGATTCAGACTTGATTTGCTAGTTGTGGCTCAAAGTACAAAATTTAAACTGGTTCAGATTTATCATTCTGGTGAACTAGTAAGGTTAGAGAAAATTGTTTGTATATATTGCCTTAATACTCATTCAGTCTCATCCTTTATTTTTCCTTCTTGTCTTTTCATAGGCAGAAGAACTTGAGTATTCATGTGAAAAATGTGGTGGGAAGTGTGCTCTTGTCAGACACAAATTTAACAGGCTTCCCAGGTAAATTTAAAGTATATGCCTTTTAAAAGTACTTACCAATGTAAGTAAAGCTTACCAGAATAGATTGGTAAAGGTCAACAAAGCTGAGATAGCGTAAACAGGGTGGAGAGAGAGGTGGAACATGCTTGTATAAGAAAGGAAAGGGATTTGGAGTGTTGTTAAAGAGCAAAAGGGTTGAGAGAGGGATGAAAGTCCCAAGGAGATGGCAATGATAAGATGCAGCTCATGAGACCTAACCCTCTTGAATTCCACAGTCAATAAAAATTACAGAGGACTGTCCAGATAGCTCCACTGACTAAAGCACCTGCTTAGACAGAGCAAAGGGACCAGGTTGTGCTGAGATGGCAATTGAGACTAGGCATGGTAGTGCACCTGTAATCCCAGCACTTGGGAGGCTGAAAACAGGAGAATCACTAGAAGTCTCATCTATGTAGTGAGACCCTGTGGACCTTGTACTAAATACATTTAAAAAGAAAATCTACAGACACACATATGTGCAAAAAGAATTGTTTGCATTTTGTTCATCATTCTCTGTCTGTATTATGAGACAGTTCAGACTTAGGAATGAAATTAACTTGTATTTTATTACTGCTGGATAGGCAAAATGAAGATGGTTACAAAAAATTATGCTGTGGTTACAGTGCTACTTTCAGTTCTTTTTAAGATGTTCTGTGCCACAAACAAGGTTATTATTCACATGAATTATTTATATGATACTTTGCAGTACTTTCTTTTATTAGCTTCAGTTTCAGTATATATGGAGGAATTTCTGGAACCCTACCCTTAGAGATTCGTTCTTTTACATTCTGTAATCTATTCCTTTCTAGAAAACAAGTTTTTAAGGAAATCACTTTATAATCATAGCCGTGTTATATTGACTATATAACCTGTAATTTTTAGTATTAATTTTATTGCTATATTTTTTATATGCGTAATAACATAAATATCAGGGAATTTGTATCTGAACATATTATGTCTTGATTCTTCCCTTTTTTCCCCCATTCCCCTCCTCTCTCTTCATCCCTTCTTCCCCACCCCATTTGCAAAACTTTTTTCCATTTTTTCCTTCTATATTTTTTCTTTTTACTTCTTTCCCTTCTCTCATCCCCCTCCCTTGTTCCCCTTCCTATTTGAACATTTTCTTCCTATTTCATAGTATGCATCATCCATTTTGGTCCTTATATTTACCCTTTCAGTTTCTCACACAAGAGAAACAATTAAGAATTTAAACATGTGTGTCCAGTTTGTCATTTAAAATTATGTTCTAATGGTGCATCCATTTACCTAAAAATGTCTCAGGTTTATCCTTCATTGTGGCAATGTAGTACTGTTGTAGTAAAAGCCACATTTTCTTTATTCATCTATTGATTGGCATCTAAGCTATTTCTAAGACTTAGCTCTTACAAATTGTGTTGCTATAAACATGGATGTGTGTACATTGCTATGGTATAATGCTTTTGTCTCTGGAAGGTAACCAAGAAGGGGAATAGCTGGGTTAAGTTGAACCTCTGGTTTTAGCTTTTTGAGGAACATCCATACTGATTTCTATGATTGTACCAATCTACACTCTGTGCCAGTCTGCACTCACACCATCAGTGGAAAAAGTTCTTTTTTTCCCCACAGCCTCACCAGCATTTGTTATTGATTGTTTTCTTGATAATAGAGTGACATGGAATCTCAGTGTTGTTTTAATTTGTATTTCTTAATGACCAGAGATGTTTGTTATCTTTTCATAGATGTATTCATTGTTTGTACTTCATTTGAGAAGTGACTTCATTTCAGAGGCTCATGTTTTGTATTGGTTCTTTAAATCCCCAAGCTGAAAGCCCTGGGTTCGGTCCTTGGCACCAAAAACAAAAAATAAACCTCTCCTAAAAAAACAGTTCAACCAAAAAAATACAGTAAAATCAAAAAAAGACCAAAAACAAACAAGGCAACTAAATTTGGGGTCCTATTTTTGTTTTGAGTTCTTTATATATTCTAGATATTTTTGTCTGAGGAATAGTTGGTAACATTTTTTTTTCCCATTCTGTGGATTATCTCTACTCTGTTAATGGTTTCGTTTGCTCTGTATAAGCTTTTTAATATGTGATCGCAGTTTTTGATTCTTTGTAGTATTTCCTGTGCTATCAGGGTTTTGTTTATAAAGGCTTGGCCTTCTATATTTTTTACTTAAGAAACTTTGCTTTCTCATGCTAGACATGGTAGTGCACGTCTATAATCCCAGCACCCAGGAGGCTGAGGCAGGAGTATCATTGTGAGTTCAAGGCCAGCCTGAACTGCATAGTGAGATCTTGTCTCAAAAAGACAAAAGAGAGAAAGAAAAAAACTTTGCTTTTTCATATTTGTGAGTGCTACAAGGCAAGAAGGCAGGGGAAAAAAAAAACCTTAAGGTTAAGGATTGGTTGTTCTCAGACGTCACTAAGGAAACCAGTGGGCATCTAAAAAGAATTACTGGGACAGTTGTGGCACCTATCTGTAGGCCCAGCACTTGGGAGGCTGAAACAGTAGGATCATCAGTTTGAGTCCAGCCTGGACTGTGTATTGAGTTTTAAGATCATCCTGAACTACCTAGCAAGACCCTATCTCAAAAAAAATAAACAGGGCCGGTGAGATAGTTCAGTGGATAAGCACCTGCTTAGGCAAGCACAAGAACGAAGATTCGATCCCCAGTACCACATGCCACTCCAGCTCTGCCCCCAGGCACACTAAGCCACTGACCCAATCCAGGCATGGTCATGCACACCTGTAGTCCCAGTGCTGGGAAGGCTGAAAACAGAAGGATCACCATGAGTCCAAGCTGCATACCAGATATATAAATTAAAACAAATAAATAAGGAAAAACCTTGTTTGACATTACAAGTTATGTGTTTCTTTCATTTCCCATTCTCAAACTATTTAGTTGTTCAAATTAAACTGTCAGATTGATGGACATTTTTCTTTTTTCTGTTGGTCTGGGCTCTGTGTCTTACCTGCTAATGATTAGTCATGTCTTATTTTTGTTCCTTTTAATTTTTAAAGCTGTTCTACTTTTATCCTTGGAGGACCTGATATCTTTGTCAAATCTGTTCACTTTTTAAAAAATGTATTTAGTACAGGGTCTCACTACATACATTGGGCTCGTAGTGATCCTCCTGTTTGCAGCCTCCCAAGCACTGGGGTTACAAATATGTACCATCATGCCCAGTCTCAGTTACCATCTCAGGTGCCCTGGTCCCTGAACCTGCCTAAGCAGGCGCTTTAGTCCACTGAGCTATCAGGCCTGCCCTTTCACTTTTTTTT